GCCTCCTGGCTATGCGTCCTACAAAAGGTCACCATGCAAAAAGCATCGGTGAGAACTTTACTGTTGAAAACAGTTGTATAGGTCTCACCCTGTGTTTGGGGGCAGTTTCAGTGTAAGAAAGTGTTCTGAAACTGCAGATGTCTAACAATGGGCCCTGAAATGGAATGTGCTGTATACACATACAAAAATGTTGTCAGTCTGGTGCACAAGTTACAACAAATGAATCTAGAAGTGCTTTAATGTAAGAGGCTCCAGGCTACAAATAAGTATACATGTAACTCGCAAGGCATTGCATACTAAAATGTGTTAGGATTCATAAAAACAATCTCACTTTTTATTTCACTTCTTTAGTGTTAAATTTCAGTGTCTGCTCCATATCAATTGAGCATAAATCAATGCAAAGTCAACAGAAAGCAATTGTTTTCTAATTGCCCTATTCACACTGTAACACTGAGTTGATCTGCGCTGCATAAATATGCAGCATGTTTGTTATTTTACACATCACTGCAACACAGTGCGTCACAATGCGGTGGATAGACTTGAATGAAGTGTCATTTTGTGAGACTTCAATACATTTTTTTTTAAAAGAAAAAAGTTAATAGTGTGATGCGTTGTAACTACCCCTACACATTTCACACCAGTGCACACGTGTTTTAGCTTGCGGTATGGTGCAAACTAACCATAAAATGTTCTAGAATACCTCCCTTTGTGGTGGTAGGGCACACTGGTATATCGGGTCCAGCACCCCTGAGTGGGAGAGTTACTGCAGCTGTAACAATGACACTTTTCACTTTCTGATGTGCACACATAACTGCTAATGTTCTGTTAATACATCATGATGAGCTGGAAATGGATATTAGATATTAGACTTTCTAACCTAACTATCACATGTTTATTTGACCATTGCAAGTACATTGGTTATCCACATCCAGATTGGGGTCGTGAACATAGATGAAATATAATGATTATGATTTTATTGTGTAATGTTAAAGTGGAACCAAAACTTTTCTTTTGTTGTGGATACAGTGGGGGAAAAGCTAGAATCTCTGTTGGGTTTTATATTGCTGTCAGTGTACCTACAGGCAAGGTTTACCCTCACTTCCTGTCCTGGTGATGGGGGAATCACTGAAACAGGAAGAGAGAGGAAAGTCTCCCAACAGGGGCACGAGGAGCAAAAAAGCACATTTTATTGCTGCCTGTGACCCTGTTGAAAAAAATATCCCATTGCTTCCCTATATCCAGTATAGGAAGCTGGAGGTAATTTCTACCCCCGGTGATGCCACTGGCTTCCCGTTGTATGAAAACACATATAAAATACAAACACATTAATTGGACATTTTACGTTTTCCATTTCTTGGAGGATGCATCCTGGCTATGCTTCCTACAAAATGTCACCATGCAAAAAGCATCGGTGAGAACTTTACTGTTGAAAACAGTTGTATAGGTCTCACCCTGTGTTTGGGGGCAGTTTCAGTGTAAGAAAGTGTTCTGAAACTGCAGATGTCTAACAATGGGCCCTGAAATGGAATGTGCTGTATACACATACAAAAATGTTGTCAGTCTGGTGCACAAGTTACAACAAATGAATCTAGAAGTGCTTTAATGTAAGAGGCTCCAGGCTACAAATAAGTATACATGTAACTCGCAAGGCATTGCATACTAAAATGTGTTAGGATTCATAAAAACAATCTCACTTTTTATTTCACTTCTTTAGTGTTAAATTTCAGTGTCTGCTCCATATCAATTGAGCATAAATCAATGCAAAGTCAACAGAAAGCAATTGTTTTCTAATTGCCCTATTCACACTGTAACACTGAGTTGATCTGCGCTGCATAAATATGCAGCATGTTTGTTATTTTACACATCACTGCAACACAGTGCGTCACAATGCGGTGGATAGACTTGAATGAAGTGTCATTTTGTGAGACTTCAATACATTTTTTTTTAAAAGAAAAAAGTTAATAGTGTGATGCGTTGTAACTACCCCTACACATTTCACACCAGTGCACACGTGTTTTAGCTTGCGGTATGGTGCAAACTAACCATAAAATGTTCTAGAATACCTCCCTTTGTGGTGGTAGGGCACACTGGTATATCGGGTCCAGCACCCCTGAGTGGGAGAGTTACTGCAGCTGTAACAATGACACTTTTCACTTTCTGATGTGCACACATAACTGCTAATGTTCTGTTAATACATCATGATGAGCTGGAAATGGATATTAGATATTAGACTTTCTAACCTAACTATCACATGTTTATTTGACCATTGCAAGTACATTGGTTATCCACATCCAGATTGGGGTCGTGAACATAGATGAAATATAATGATTATGATTTTATTGTGTAATGTTAAAGTGGAACCAAAACTTTTCTTTTGTTGTGGATACAGTGGGGGAAAAGCTAGAATCTCTGTTGGGTTTTATATTGCTGTCAGTGTACCTACAGGCAAGGTTTACCCTCACTTCCTGTCCTGGTGATGGGGGAATCACTGAAACAGGAAGAGAGAGGAAAGTCTCCCAACAGGGGCACGAGGAGCAAAAAAGCACATTTTATTGCTGCCTGTGACCCTGTTGAAAAAAATATCCCATTGCTTCCCTATATCCAGTATAGGAAGCTGGAGGTAATTTCTCCAATGGGGGGAGATGACAACAGTGAAAACCCAACAGAGATTCTAAACTTTCTTCACTGTATGCAAAAATAATAAATAAGGTTTTGGCTACCTTACAGTACGTGTGTTTTTTTTTGTTTGTTTGAGCTTTTTTGGTCTAGTTTCAATACCTAATTAAATGCCATTAAATTCACTTACATTTGTTTTGGCTCTCACTTGGAATATTAGCCTAAGACTAATCAGTCATTTCTGTATACCAGATGGCTAAAGAATTAAACATCTGAGGGTTAGTCTTAAAATGTTTTTAGAAAACAAAAAAACAAAAAAAAAGACAAACAAAAAGTAACTGAGTACCCTGTTATACGCAACACAACAAGGTCTTGCCACCAGTATGTAACTTTCAGCATCTGAAAAAGAGCACAGCTGAGTCTCTCATCACTTCCCGCAACCTGAACTTAAAGGTAAAATCTTCCTTCTGTAACCTACTAATCCTCCCACCCACCCCATGTAAAGAAGATGAAGACCAGACAGGGTAATTACCATGGCTTCCTCATGGACACAGTGGAGTGAGTGAGCGTAGTCACCCAAGGACAGTAAGTGTGTAGTGTATGGTTTACCAGGTGAAAATAATGCAGCCACCACATATAAGGAGTGGTAAGCTGCCATATATATTACATTTTTGTTTTGGGATTTAGATTAGAAACACTGTTAATTGAAATAAACCTAGTGCTAGTATTGCATTTGTGCTGAAAATTGCATGTGGCAAACAAACCCGTGCTGTAATACATCAACAATACATATGATACATTTTGTATATACCAACGAATTGGTGCTATGAAAAAAAAACACACACCAAACCTATGTGCACATTAATTGTGCTTGTTCTAATGGCTTGCCTGGTGTCAACAGACGTTCGAGTGGTGCCTAGATAAAGAACAGTTGGTCTTCTTCTATCAGCTGAAGGACGGAGTATCGGAAGTAAGCCAGGCAGCCAAGGTAGCAGCCATAGCTGGAATGCCAGAGGAGATCATTAAGAGAGGAGTGGAGGTAATGTACTTCTCATGATTCATGCTGACCTTACTTTACAAAAGAAAAAAAATTGTACTTACCGTAAAATCCTTTTCTCACAGTCCATTGAGGGACACAGCTTAACAATAATTAAGCAACCTAGGATTACATCAGGGACGTGCGGTCAGGTGAGGCAGGTGAGGCAAAACCTCACTTAGTATTATGGAGGAAAAAGCTCTCATCTTCAAGTCTAAATCTGACAGCTTTTTCTCCATTCAGAGCGGCTTGTTACAGGTCACACAGCAGGGTATGCCTCCCCGCTGTGTAACCTGTCATGGACGGAGCACAATTACAGGCAGCGCTGAATCCAGCTTTTGACAGGTAGTTAGGTTACACAGCGGCGGGCTTCCCCACTGCTTGTGTAACCTAACTTGGTGAAGCAAGAGCTGTCACAGCCTCTACTCTTTGTTAGAGACGTGAGCTCTGTGGATGGTTTGGACCAATGGCAAAGCGCCATTGGTCCAAGCTGTCCAATCACAAAAAGAAAAGAAAAAACCCACTGAGGCCATTGATCTCGATGCCTCAGCAGTGAGGAGCAAGTGAGGGACAGGGAGGCTCCTCTCTGTCTCCTCCCTCCACTATCACTATCCGGGGCTTTGTCGGGAGGGGGCGGGGCTTCAATGGTATATGGGTGGGCATGTGTGTGCTGGGGGCTTGTTGGGCTTCCTGGGGCGGGGCTGCGGAATGCCTCACCAAGAAGCGAAGGTACCGCACGTCACTGGATTATACTGTATATGACTATACAGGATACTGTAAATGTACACTAGGCACATAGAAAACTGAAGGCCAGTCCCCTTGTTCAGTTGGTGCAAGAGGTCCAGAGAGATTATGATAGCATATGAGAGGAGGGAGTTGTGTCCCTCAATGGGACCTGAGAAAACATTCCTACTTGAGGGCGAGTACAAAAATCCTACCTTCTCTGTTTTCTTCTCTGAGGGACACAGTACAATAATAAGCAACCTAGGGATGTCCAAAAGCAGTACAAACAGAGGAGCGGGCACGCCAAAACAAACATAGGGAACCAGCCCAACAAGAAAAAGAACAAAAGTGAACCACACATATTAGTATGTAGAGAAGACCAGGTTGCAGCCTTACAGCACTGAGACCTAATGATGACATTTCCAGGAAGCACTCACTGCCTGGAGTGGGCTTTAACAGAAAAAAGATGCAGTGTATGCTGCTATTTACAATCCTGCATATTAACCAATTAAATCAACTTAAAATATTGGTTCTAGAAGCCAGAGAGCCTCTTTTCGGACATGAAATAACAAACAGGGAATCTGTCTGCCTAAAAGAAGCAGTGGCCAAGAGGTAATCCCTGATAAAGCTCACTACATCCAGACTATGGAGAATAATAACCTTGGAGTGAACCAGTGCCAGACAGAAGTAAGTTAACACAATATTCTCATAAAGGTGGAAAGCAGGAAACACTTTGGGCAAAGAGGAGGCCCTTGGTATCAAAAATAAGTACCAGAAAGATGGGAATGTGTAAATATGCATCCTTTAAGTCAATGTATAATAAGAAGGGAGGCAATAGCTAAGTGAACAGATTCCATCCAAAACTTTTGACAATGAACACAGGCATTGAGAGCAATTAACCCTTTTGCTGCTACCAACTTAAAGGAGAACTATGAGGTAAGTGAAAATCACTCATCCTCGTAGTTCGAGCCGACCTGTGACAATAAAACTGTTACGTGTCGGCTCAATAGATTGTGAAGTGAGCGAACGCATACCGTCGCTCGCTCACTTCTCGATCATCTCCCTGCAGAGAGCCGTGACTGTCACGGCTCTCTGCAGGGATTCCCCCCTCCCCTCTCTGATCCTCCAGCGCTGAATGGAGGAACGGATGGGGGAGGGGGCAGGTACAGCAGGCTCTGCCTCTGCCTCTAGATAGGCAGAGCCAGCTGTCACTCACGCAGCTGGGTGGATCTCGACAGAGCTGAAAAGCTGGATGGGTCACGGGAGCTGAAATCATGGTCTCCTGCAACAAAGCCATCTTACGTGGTTGATCCACTGACCAGCACTTAAGGCAAATCAATGTGGATATGGGCAAAAGTCATGTGTTAACTAGAACACAATGGGGGGAATGTATCAAAACTGGAGCAGTTGCCCATAGTAACCGATCAGCTTCTCTCTTCAGTTTGTTTGGTTAAGATTTGAAAATGAAAGAGAGAAACTGATTGGTTGTCGTGCACAGCTGCTCCAGATTTTGTCGCATAGAGAGTGTGCTTAATGAAGTGCAAAAACCTGCGCTTATTGGCTAAAATCTTCCAATACAAACAAAAAGAGGCCTCAGGTCCCAGGAATTTTGCACTAACAAATAGCGGTGCCCTGTACTGCAAGCTAATGTATTCTGGCTGCCAATGATAATTATTGCAATGTGCTGTATTTTATTCCGCAGGTTTCAGAGCTCTTCCGGAGAGGTCAGGCCATAGATTGCCTAAATCAGGGTGCAATGAAAGAGAAACTAGAGAAGTAAGAAAGAAAGTTAATATTCATACTTGTAGCTTTCTGATACCTAATGAATCGTCCTTTAGGGCCTGTTCACACGACGTCCGTTTTCTGTGCTGACCTGATCCGTACGCTCCTGCACTAAAAATGCATCCCAATGTATCCCTATGTGTTTTATGGGCTACAGTTCTCACGTGCGCAGTCCGTTCAGGTTACGACAGAAAAATACTGCATGTCACATTTTCTGCGGTCAGGAAACGGTCCGGAAATGCAAAACACACTGCACTGCAGCTAACATACTGACAGCCCCACTCCAGCAAAAAAACAAAAACATTTTTTGTTTTTTTGTTTTACTGGAACGCGGCAAAACCACATAGCACCGCGTCTCCTGATCCGCACCTGATCCGGAGCTTATCAGGACCTGATATCATGTGAACAGGCCCTTAGAGCAGGGGTGGGCAACTCTGACCCACCAGCTGTTGTGTAACTACAAGTCCCATGAGGCATTGCCAGACTGACAGTAACAGGCATGACTCCCAGAGGCAGAGGCATGTTGGGATTTGTCGTTAAAGCACAGCTGGAGGGCCGGAGTTGCCCACCCCTGCTTTAGAGCCTACCTTGGGCTTGGGAACTTATGACCCTCCAGTGGCCAGAATGCTAAATATTGCATAATTTCCCACTTGCTGGACACTGGCGGCCCATGCTGGAAATTTTCATCTCTCTATGTAGAGTAATTTTTTTCACAATGCGCTTTTCTCTTTTCCATTTTTCTATCTTAATAAATATCCTTTACAAAAATCTCTACATTCTCATTGCAAACCTACATTCTAGACGTATCTTACATCCCTCTTCTTTCTCCTCTAAAGGTGTCAGAAACTGGTCGATGGTTTCCTTAATCTGGACCTCGATGATCCCCAGACTGACCTACAAAAATATTTGTCTGAGGAGGTTCTACCCTTCTCTACTTTGCTATAAGTGAAAATGGTATTGGGTTTCATTTTTTTGAAGGATTACGTTTTTTACTTAGCCACCCAATGAACATCCAATTACATGCAGAGGAAGTGAATAAAATAGGAATATATTTTGGGTAATTCAAAATGATAAGTGTCTGAGCTAAGGACAAAAAACTTCCCTTGAGCAGCATTCGGCTTGGCTGTTCTGCTCGCTCCCTCTGTGGGACCGAGCAGAACAGAAAAATAGTGAAAAAAGTTCAAAAAAAGAAATAGAAAACGCTTGTGCGGAGCTAGCAGTGACAGCTAGCTCCGCCCAACTGTTTTCTATTGACCGGTGGTTCTGCTGCTGTAAAAAAAAAAAAGGAAAATCACTAGAGGGGACCTGATGGAGAACTGCAGGTCCCCTCTTCTGATTGACAGCAGCAGTGGGCGGGTGCGATAGCTAGTTTGCTATTGGCTATTGCAAATCGAAATAGCCAATAGGAAACTAGCAATGCATTCCTATGGTGATTTTTTTTTTTTTTTTTTATTCTTCTAGTGTCCCTGGTTAGCTGGTAACCAGGGACGCTGATCTTCCTGCAAGTGGCCGGAGCGAGCCGTAAGATCGCGGCTGGCTACGCCCAGCTGGCCAGCTTCGGCTTTCACCTCGTCTCAGTCGAGCTGAAGCATATGCCTTCGGCTCGACTGAGCCGCTCGGCTGACCTCGGGAGCTGTACGGGCTATAGTGAATAGCCCGTACAGCAGCCCTTCGGTTCTACTGAGCCGAAGGGGTCCTGGGGCTGAAGCTAGCCGAAGGATCAGCCGAAGCTATGACTAGATCCTTCGGCTGCTTCGTGAATAGACCCCTAATTTTCATCCCTAGGAGAGGTTCCCATGAGTGCTAGCTGGTTAAAGAGGAATTAAAGTGTTTCTAAACCAAAAACCAAAAATTTAACATATAGCAGTTTACCAATCATTTGATGAGCTGGCTGCATTAGTTTTCTTCTTTTTTTTTCCTTTTTACTTGGTAATCCACCCAGGCTGGACTTAAAACATGCCTTCCCCTCCTAATCTCCATTACATAGTAGTTTACAGAAGAAAGGTATCGTTGTATGTGCTTTCAGTTCAGATCACAGGAAGTAACTAGAAAAACTTCATTTCTGGCAAGATCAACAGGTATTTTCTGTTATTGCTGAACATGTTGTTAGTCCAAAAATGAAGACTAATGCAGCCACCACATCTAAGGACCGGTAAGCTGAAATATATTACATTTTTGTTCTTTGGTTAAGTTATCCCTGAACTACTGATGAGCTTAAAGTTGAAAAAATATTGTGTAAATACGTGAATCCTGTGTATTCTTACGTGAATCTTGGTGAGCTTTGTGTATTTCCTCCAGATCTGTGCAGCAATCCAATGTGAAACTTGGAGCTTCCTGTAAAGAAGAGGGGGCGGAGACAAGACCAGTCACTCTGCACAAGGACAGAGAGCAGCAGTGATTGGTCTTTATTACAGAAAGCTCCAAGTCTCGCACTGGATTACTGCACAGTTCTGGAAGAAATACAGTGGTACCTCGGTTCACGAACACTTCTGTTCGCGAACAATTCGGAAGTTCAGCAAAATGTTACCTCCATTCGCGAACTCCGCTTCTGGTGACAAACACAACCGCAGCCATTTTCCCTGCTCTGACACACGGTCATGGCTTCCTCTAGTCGAGATCACAGTTTGATTCTGTTCAAGACCAAATCGGTCGTGAACCGAAACAAAAACAAATTAAGTTCGTGAACCGAGGTACCACTGTACACAAAGCTCAGCAAGATTCAAATAAGAACACACTAGACTTGTATTTAGACGATATTTGCTTATCCTGGAGTTTAGCTTTAAAAAATGTGGAAAACCTCTTTATAGGACCAGTCCATCTGGGTTTGATATTTAATTGTTTGCTGACGAGGTGTCTCGAGTCCTTGGTCTGCCTTTGAGAAGATCTAGTAAGGTCCTCTCTCCTGACTATTGCAAGTCTCACTCTTCTTGCTGGACCTTTATTTTTACATTAATGAGGATGGACCAGGAGAAGTATGACTCCAGACCTGGAAGATCTCATTAGTGGTGTCCCTGGTGATACAAGATGCCTGTGGATGGTTCCATTTAAGTGGACTGACCCTACAGGTATTTTATTATAAAAATGTATTCATTACCTGAGGTATCATCGCAGAAAATGGATACACACAGAAGCTATTCGGGGGAAACAAAATGGTAGTACCTATTTCTTCTGTGAAGCCGGGGTAATCTTCTCTTATCTATTCAGAGAAATCTGGAAGAATATCGGAAATGCTTTTGTTCCCATGGAAGCCTTTCATATAGTAATGAAAGATATGGACGTGACGCTTCCTTTGCCTGGAGCACCGCAGGAGATGAAAACGCTGGGCTCAGTTACACTATACATAAGAAGGTTTGTTTCATGTGACATAAGTACTGTATCTCATCTACATTATGGGATCCAGGATTTTTTTGGATGTATATAAAGATCACATAGCCTAAGGCCTAGGACAGTAACAGTTTGAAGGGCAGCGAGTTGTATCTTGTTTTACAATATTATTATATTTATTTTACAGTATTACAATTGGACTACTTATAAGTCTCTTATTAAAGTTTATGTAAACTCTAACAACTGTTCCCTTTCTGTCTGTTAAATATACCACTGAAAGTGTTTTGTTATATCTGTTGCAAAAAAAAACCTGTTGATCCTGCCAGAAATCTTGTGAGTTGAAAACTTTCTGTGGCCTCTGCTAAATGTTAGCAGGCAGCACTATTCCCAGCTATTTATGTGGTCTACAGACCCCCCACCCCTTCCTTTGTTGCGGAGAAGAGGAGAGGGGAGGTGTTTTGTTGTCCTGTTTTAGCTCAATATATCCAGTGCCAGGATTTAGTGTTGTCAGAAAATGTGTTACTGGCAGGATCATTGGGTAAAAATTAGGGATGCACCGATACCGATACAAGTATCAGTGCCGATGCCGAGTATTTGGGCGAGTACTCGTGCGCGCCCAAATGCTCCGATGCCTAGCCCGATACATGAGCTTCTGGTATCAGGAAGCCGGGCAGCGAGTCATTACATGCTGTCCGGCTTCCCGATTGGCCGGGAAGCCGGCTTCATGCTCCTTCATCACCTGGTGACGAGGGAGCATTGAGCCGTCTTCCTGGGCAATCAGGAAGCCAGGCGCCGCGTCATTACACGGTGCCTGGCTTCCTGATTGGACAGAAAGCCGGCTCCATGCTTTATCATCACCTGGTGACAAGGAAGCATGGAAACTGCTTCCCTACTAATTGGGAAGCCAGGTGGCAAGTTTTTACATGCCGCCCAGCTTCCCGGCTAATCAGAAAGCCAGGTGGCGAGTCATTACACGCCGTCTGGCTTCCTTAACCACTTCAAGACCAGGTGTTTAGACCCCCTTCCTGGCCAGGCCATTTTTCAGTATTCAGCGCTGCGGTACTTTGACTGACGTATCCTAGTAGAAATAAAGGAAATACAACCTAAAAGAAAAGAAAACAAATGTAGCCACTGTAGCTAAAGACTAGTAAGCTGCAATATACAGTATTGCATTTTTGTTCTTGGGTTAAGATATGTTTTAAAGAAGAACTCAGAGCAAAACTTTTATTAAGCCTTGCAGTGGGGCTACCCCCATACTGGAAGGGTTAGCTACTAATTTCTGTTTAGGTGCTATAATAAAACAGTTATACTCAACCAAAGCGCCGAGCCGGCTTGTTCTTAGGCTGGTCCTTCCCGCGTCTCTCTCCCTCCTCTGTACCGGTCTAATGTCCCGTAAATCATCATGTTCTATACACAGTGTCGGAGGAGGCAGGCTTCAGAGACCGGAGGAGGCATACTTCAGAGCCCAGAGAAGCAAAGAGCCGGCTGAGCAGTTGGCGTGAGTATACCTGTTTTTTTTCCCCTAACACTTAGACAAAAATGAGCCATTAACCTTTGCAGTGCAGGAGTAGCCCCACTGCAAAGGCTAATAAAAGTTTTGGCCAGAGTACTGCTTTAAACATACCTGGGGATCAGAAATTTGATATGACAAGAACTCTTTCTTTACTAAAGAAACTGGCAGGACCGGTGCTACCACTAGGCAAACTAGGCAGCCGCCTAGGGCGCACTGCTTCCTAGAGCGCAGCCTCAACCACACGGCACTCACCATCTATTTAAAATTGCAAAAGCCAATAGCAGGCTGGCTATTGCACCCGCCCACTAAGAAGAGGAGCTGAACTGAGAGATAACTTTTTCTCTCAGGTTCGCACCTCTGCCTTGTGGGTGGGGTTTTAATAGCCAGTCTGCTATTGGCTATTTAAAATTAAATGACATCCACCTGTGGCCTGCGGAAGCTAGTTGGCAGGAGATGGGGGCCGCGCATGTGGGGGGATTGGGGGTTGCGCCTCAGGAAGGGGGCTGGAGGGTTGCAAGTAGCTTGTCTTGCCTAGGGCGCATAATAGTCTAGCACCGGCCCTGGAAACTGCTAAGATAAGTCAATGCAATTTTACTGAAACTTAAACTTTGCTTTATGGGGCCCCCGTGCTGGTAACATCCACATGCAGAATAATTCACACTGGCACCTTTGCATGTCTGATCAACATATCATTGTAAAAGTCTGAACCAGGAAAAAAAATGATTCCTCTCAGGATGCTCTATGTAAGCGGTCAGTGTCGCCCCATCTTGAAATGAACCTGTACTTGCCCGTACCTTCTCAGCGTCCCCCTTGCTGCCTAAATCTGTCCCCATTACTATGCAATTCCAAATTCCAGAAAGTCAGAACTTAAACAGGGACAATATTATCATGAACTCTGGAAGCTCTGAATACGTTGTATCGTGAGCTGGAGCATTCTTTGTTTAAAGCCGAGTCAGTAAAGTCTTGACAGATACATTCTCCAATGATCAAACATGGTAATAGAGGTGAGAGCTGTCTGGAAGAACAAAGGTTGTTTATTGGCATTGAACACAAATATGGCTTCATTCATGAAATAGAAGTTTACAAGACAAGCATGGTATGTGGGCGC